AAATTAGTACTATTGTGTAAAAGCTGGACTTAGGTACTCTGTTTTTGAATAGAAACAATGTTTAAAAAAGTGTGATTTGATTTTAGTCTTAAACGATAAAGTGAAGGCTTTTTACTTTATCTGGCAAAAAGTTATAAAAACCAAAATTGGTCGAATTTTTTATGCTCTTTGTCAACCTAAAACGTTGTGCTCTAATAGCATCTCTAGATCTTGTATCGTGATCATGGATGTTTTAGTTTATGTCAAACTTACCTTTGTTGGCATGAATTTTAATCAGCGTCTCATATAAAGAGTGAATGTAGTGGCATACCTAAATTCAGAAATAAAGTTTTATAGTTTCACCTATACTATGATCTTGCAAGTATCCTCACTACCATGATACTATAATAAAACAAGATAAGTCAACGCGCATGTTCTTGTGACGTGTGTTTATGACTTTTTGTGCGCAAAGTCGATTAAAATTAGAGCGGCATGTGAGCATTTCTTATTTGTTATATTATCATGCCTCACTACTCTTTTTTGTAGTTTAAAAATTCAATCTACATGATAATAATTACCCCAAACAGTTATTCCGTACTGTAGATGGCTATGGAGTAGTGCAAAGTAGCACATTATAAGGGTACTTTTAGGAATCATGTAAACTAAGTTGCGTATTAAAAATATAATTGTCGCTGGTTTAACACTATTTCTTGAGATATACTTCCAATTGGAACTAAAAATCAAATTTGATTTTTCTCTTTATTTAGCTTTAGCTCATTATGTAAAAACCAGTTTTTTGCTTTCTTGATATCACTATCTATTTTAATTTTCTGATTATGCTGATTAATATCAGTATTAATGAGAGTTGTATCATATGCGAAGCAAACACATTTTATACGAAAAGTATAGTGAAATAAATCGTTCAGCTAAATAAGAAACAAAGTAGGTCCTAATATCTAACCTTGAGGAACCCCATAACATAGTGTTAAGTATAATGTAAATAGATTAAGAGTGTTTCTCCTAATACCATATTTATGCATTTTTTCCAACAGTAATTCATGCGAAACAGTCAAAAGCTTTGGATAAGTCACAAAATGTCAAAGACACAAATGACCTTCCTTCAAGCCATCAACTACATATATCTCTCACAATTTTCTGTATGGCTAGTGTAGGTAGATATACATCACTATTTCACAAGTGATAGAGTTTATATATCTAGGCATCATATTATCTAGCTACGGAAAGCTCGAAATCGAAGTGGAAGATCAAGTGAATAGAGCAAACAGAGCCGCAGGCTGCCTCTGTGAAGCAATATGAAGAAATAAAAATATCGGGGCAGGGAAAGAAACGAAAGGCAGAATTTACAAAACAGTTATCAGACTAATAATGACATACGTGGCAGAAACAAGACTTGACACAGAGAGGACAAAAAGTATGTTAGAAACAGCAGAGATAAAAACACTTGGAAAACTTGGAGAAAAATTGATGGTAAGACACCATGGGACAGAGCTAGAAGTACATATATATGGCATAGTAGAATGAAACGATTATATAAGCCGAATGACATGACAACAAATAGAGTAGTAAAGACGCAAGAGACGGTTCCCCAATAGGAAGACGATCAGTAGGAAGACCACGAAAACGATACAATGACAACTTACTAGAGGCACATTGAAAAACAAACAGAGTAATGTCTATATAAAAAGAAGAAGAAGAAGAAGAATTTTCTGTATGGCTAGTGTAGGTCTACTTTTTTATAAAGCCATATTGATTACAGTGAAGTATTTTGTGTTTTTCTAGATATTCTATCAAACGAACATTTAGAAACTGTGGTTGCCCTATAGTTGAGTCCCAAAATTTATAATTCGTCTTTATGATAGCCGAGTTAAAAAGCAAATTAAGTCCCGTGCCTACCTGGGGCTTAGTCGGTTAAGAAGCGTTACTATCTGTCTTGACAATGGCATGTGCGACCTTGCCGAAACGTAGTCAAAATAATAGATTTTTTCAAAACCATTATTTTCATAAAGACCACAGAAATATATATATATATATATATATATATATATATATATATATACTGTGTCCGTAAAGCATGGAACAAATTCTTTTTTAGCTCAACAGAGCATTTTAAGAAATAATCCTGAAACACGTCTTTTTTTAATTTTAATTTACCGTTTTTTAAAATAATATTCTAATATACAGGGTGAATTACTTTCGAGTAATGACGTCATTGTCATTTTTTTTAATGAAATATCCCCATTTTGTCTCAATTTTCGGAGTACTCTAACTGAGCTGATTCCAAAAATGTATCACATGTTAATTCAAATTAATACAAGGTGGCCAAAAATACAATAGTTTTGTGTGTGTTCATAAAGTAACGCGTTAGTTAAATTAACAATATTATGAAAAATACTTATTGTCTAGTGGACAGAATATGATGAAATACATGACTTTATAAATGTTCGAACTGCAGCCTTTGTTGTATTTGACAGTAACCCGAACGTTGTACAAATTCTTGTTGAACCTTGTTTATTGTGTCTTGAGAAATACTGTTTATTGCTGTCCGAATTATCTGTTGTAATTCTTGAATATTTGCTGGTTTCGTTTGATACACAACATTCTTCAGATGACCCCACATAAAATAATCCAAAGGATTGAAATCCGGTGACCTCGCTGGTAATTTAATAGGTCCACGTCTACCAATTCACCTGTTTGGAAAAATTTCATCTAGGTACCTACTAACATCTACAGCATAATGTAAAGGTGCACTATCCTGTTGCAACCATAAACTTTTATCAAAACCTCCAGGATTACATTTGCTGCGAAACAAATTACGTAAAGTAGGTACGAGATACCCCCTTAAAAACTCACGGTACGTTGCCCCGTTTAAATTAGCTTCGATAAATTACGGTCCGATGATTGGATTTCTTACAATTGCAGTCCATACATTTACCTTTTTCGAGTATTGTGTGTGATACTCACGCATTCAGTGGGGTTTTCTTTTGCCCAGTATCTGCTGAACGTGAAAGTGGCCTCATCAGAAAAAATATTGTTTTGTACCAAGAGAGGGTCTCGGTGACAGTTATCCATCATTGCTTCACAAAATTGCATTCTTCTATCGGGATCATCTTCGTTTAATTCCTGCACAAGTTTGATTTTATAACGATGCCATTTTTCAAGCTTTAATAGTTTGTGTACCGTTGTTTTGTTAACACCGATATCGCGACTAACTTTATGCACAGAAGTGATTTCCGTGCATTTTCAACCGTACCAGTTTCTCGAAATTTCTTTTCAATCTTACTGACTGTTGAATATTTATCATTATAGGTCTTTCTGAATATTTATCATTAAACAAATTGCACACTTCCATCTGAGTTCGCGATCTGTCTCCATACCCAATCATCATAAGTATTTCAATTATTTGCTTTACACCTAACTCCATTTCTACTTCAAATTAAATCTAAGCAACAATTAAAACATTAACAAATACCAAAAATATTGTAGTACTAAACTGTCACTGAACATCAATAAATTACTAAACAAATAATGACATTTAACAAAAACATAGCCTACTATGTTTCTTTTAAATTGATAAGAAATAATTTTTCTTTCATATTCTGTCCGCTAGACAATACATAAGTATTTTTGATATTGTTAATTTAACTAACGCGTTACTTTTTGAGCACACACAAAACTATTATATTTTTGTCCACCTTGTACCAATTTGAATAAATATGTGATACATTTTTGGAATCAGCTCAGCTAGAGTAATCCGAAAATTGAGACAAAACGGGGGTGTTCCATTAAAAAAAAATGACGGTGACGTTATTACTCGAAAGTAATTCACCCTGTATATTAGAATATTATTTTAAAATACAGTAAATTAAAATCAAAAATCGACGTGTTTCAAGATTATTTCTTAAAATGCTCTGTTTAGCTAAAAAAGAATTTGTTCCATACTTTACGGACACAGTCTATATATATATATATATATATATATATATATATAATATATATATATATATATATATATATATATATATATATATATATATATATATATATATATATATATATATATATATATATATATATATATATATATATATATTGCAGAATTAAGAAACCATCTTGTGCTTTGGCAGAACATGTAAGCGACAAAGACCATATTATGGATTTTGATAATATTAAAATTTTATGTAGTGAAAGTAATAAATTCAAAAGAACTTTTTTGGAAATGGTTCGTATTTGCAAAAGTGATAATAATTTAAACAAAAGGTCAGAAATTCAAAACCTAAGCAAAATTTATAATTATATTATTTCTATGCAGTAAAATAACACATTTTATTTGTTTTTTACACATTTTATTTGATTTAATTTTCCATATATTTGTTACATTTTTTCAGGCATCTATCAATGGTGAATAAATATTCTTCTTTTTTGTTACTTAACAAAAAAGAATTTTTAAACAAAATTTTTAGCAATGTAATTGTCAAAAATAAAAATTTTTAAGTTGGTATTTATGACATTTAGGCTTATTTGTAATTGTCAATATTCAAATTTATTTATAAATTCAATTGTTTTTGTATTAAGAAACTTTTTCAAAATTATACAAAAATTCAGAGAAACATTTATTAGATTAAAACATTTTTATATTGATACTTTTTGTAATACGTTAGCAGCAGTTTTATATACCACACTAATTTTATTTGGCTAGTTAACAAAATGTTTTTCTTTTTAGTTCCACTTTGTAAGATATTTTGTATTTTTTAGCAGCTCTTGATAATGATTGTAAACATAATTGAAAGCTCGAGTAAAAAATAGTTAACAAATAGCTCCTTTTATTGACTCCAACCCATCCAAAACAGTTATATATATATATATATATATATATATATATATATATATATATATATATATATATATATATATTATATATATTATATATATATATATATATATATATATATATATATATATTTAATTCAATTACTTCTAATTAAAGAGATTGTCATTTACAGGTTAGAGGATTTGAAGATACCTATATATTAATTCCGTTAGAAAATGTGTATGAAAATCATCAAAAACGTGGATTTTTTTCGAAAAAAATTGTAAATGACCAAAGGGTAAGTAAATATTATTAGTTTTTTGTAATGAAACTGTTGTGATTTGTCTCCTTTCCACAACAGAAGTAGCGGCCAGACATTGGAACTGGCTAAGTATGTAGACTTCGATTAAATAATCATTTGTCGAAACAATTTTTAAAGTAGAAATAGTAATAATAATGCTTGATGCATTTAAGAGCACGCTATTTTATAGTGCATTGTTACAACAGATATTTTTTTACAAACGTATTTAACTAAAACTAAACTTTTTCTGCTACGTGCGAACGAAATTTTACGTAGAGTGCATGTATTTTTACACAAATCTTGAGAGGTCGAGATGTACCTACTATCGGGTACGGGCACCAATAACGGAGTCTGGTGCCGCTGAGATGACTACTAGCTATCCCACGTGAGAATCGAGAAAGGAGTCTTGAATGTAACTAAAAATGTCCGGCACGGGAACCGAGAACGAAGTAGGGATGGCGGTTTTTGACAAAACACCGGTTTTCGGGTATACCGGTTTTTTTTTTGCTTACGGTTTAACCTGGCAGTTATAACCGGCCAAAAAAACCGGTTTTTCCAAAAACCGGTTTTCGGTTTTTTGAATCAAATAGATTAAAAAGTTACATTTACAATTCACTTTAGTTTGCGATACTACATTCGCAACACAATTTTTTGTGTTTTGTGAGAAAAAAATTCCCCAGACTCTTTCAAATGGGATTTAAAGAAAATAATATCAACATAAATATTTTACTTAAAAATAAATTGGATAATGCAATTCATCTTTTATTTTTACTACCATCAAAAAAAAATTATCATGTATTACTTTTAACTCATTTACGACTTCCGGTATGGGTATCATATCAATCGTTTTGAAAACGTAGGGAAATCCTTGTAGATTCGTATTCGTAATAGGTAATTCGATATTCATAGTCATTATTTTTGGTAATCAGAAAAAGCCATTCACCCACTTTCAATGTCAAGAGTCAAATAACCATAATAAATACCAGATCACTTCTTATGTAAAAATATTATGATTACGAAATACTATAATAAAATTTAATTGTTTCTGGCTAATGTGAGCTTTTGCTTGTGTATTAAATAAAATAAAAATTTAATTTTAGTTTTGTTTGGAATAATTACTTGAGAATAATAATTATGATTGGGTGGGATCCAAAATAATACCTAACCTAATCCTAATCACTGTAAAAACCTAATAACCGGTTTATACTTTAAAAATGAAAAACCGGTTATAACCGGGACAAAAAAACAACCGATAAAACCGGTTATTTCGAAGTAAAAAAATCGGTTTTCGGTTAAAACCGGTAGGTTTTTCCCATCCCTAGAACGAAGTCACTGAATACCGCTTACGGCGTTTAACTGGTTAATAATGTGTTTAATAATTATGTTATAACTGTTTAAATAATTAGCTGTACACATTGTAGGTATTGTGGGCTGAAGAACAACATGCTAAATTAAGGCAAAAAAGGGACTTTATTGCAGAAGAAGATATGCCCAAAGAGCGAGTTAAAAGGGTGGAAGATATTCCAATTCGTCAAAGAAAAACATTAGTAACAGCCTCCGACCAAACGTTTAATGATGAATTGTGGTCACAACAATGGTATCTGGTAAGTTTTCTTCTCACTTCTGATCATGAATATTTATAAATGCCCTGATCCATTTATGTATTATCTTTTTTTTTATAAATATTTTATTAATTAATCTTATACATTAAAGAAAAGTATTTAACTTAACTGTAATTTTATATATTTTTTAGCGAGATACTAGATCTCGTTTAGACCTTCCAAAATTAGACTTAAATGTTCTTCCTGTGTATTATATGGGTATAACTGGTAAAGGAATTCGAATATCAATCCTCGACGATGGAATTGAATATACACATGATGATTTAAGAGAAAACTATGTAAGTCATTATACTTAATAATTTAAGAGAAAACAATGTAAGTTAGAATGTATTAGTTCATTGCAAGTATCGTAGTTTAATATAGCGCACAGTTTGATATATTTAATTTTATAACTCTTAAAATGAACTTTTCTTCTTCTTGTACTTGTAGATCTACAGTCCATATAATTTATTTACCGTTGCAGGTCATTATCATTGACAGAGATAGAAGTTGACATAGTTGCCAAAGTATATGTTGTTGTTGTTTGTTTGTGTTTAAATGACTGCGGACACTAAATCCATTCGCCAATCTTACAATTTGAGGTGTAGTGTGTGTGTGTGTAGAGTAATTGTCTTGATACTTAGCAAAGTCGACGTCATTGTCTTTGCTAAGAGACGCTAATTGTATCCGAACGTCTGCGGTCCCTCCGGTGTGTACCGATCACACAAGGATAGAAATTATTTTCATTTATTAATTTTTTTAATAAACGAAAATTTCCACCCAGGTGGGATTGCCAAAGTATAAAAAATCATGAATCCATTTTAAATCAAATAAGTCACATAATTATTGCAAAAGTGGATTATACAACAAAACAAATTAATATTTAATGTAAATAAATAGAAACACAAATTATTGAAATAAAACACACTAATTTTGTTCTAAAAAGAACAGATTTTATTAAATAGGTAAAAATATAAAACAAGAGATATTCACTTTAAAATTCAAAATAATAAAGTACAAAAAGTGTCAACACCGCAACTGTCAAATAACTGTTACCAATTTATGTAAAAATATCACCTTCGCTCGATTACAGTTACAGTATGTTCCGAACATGGACGTATGTATAAACATAGATGGACACAGCAATAAGATACCTTTAACACACAATGTTTTGAAGCTTCGATAGAATGTGATGCTTCCGCAATGAGCATAAGCGTGCTTGAATTTTTACTCGCGGGTAATTATTGAGATTTTAAAAATTGGAAGTAGTAATAATGTATAAAAAACGTTTAAAGAATTAAAAAAAAACGAGAGTTTAACTATTAACAAATCACGTCTTTATAGAAAAATTAAAATAGAATTATATTTGCTTTAAAATTAATACAATTAAATATAGTTGAATTCAAGCTAATTTTTTAATAGTATCAAAATAATGCTACAATAAAAAATCTTTATGTTTTTTCCTTAATTTGCTACCCAAATTGTTCGTTGGTCAATATTATTTGGAAACCTACATAGAAAAATAAATGGGTTTTATTCATTTCACTAATTTATTTGTATCCATGAGAAATATTAAATTAAAAAGGTACTAAACAGATCGTTTTTAATCAGATGATGTCTACTTACAATTTATAAATGTCTACTAATTTCATGAACTCATATCTTATTCAATACATTAATGAACATGAATAAACCCAATGGTACGCCTATTAAAATGCAAACAAACACGCTTCCTCATTTCCTCATCTTAAATAATGTAAATTGTATGTACTTACAAATGAAATGAGAGATCGGGATGTAAATATTTCGTTTATTTTATTTCACTTTTCACAAATATCACTCAAAATAACGGCCAACATATCGAAAAATACCTTTTTCCTCATTTACTGTAAAAAGTAAACAAACATGGAACAGCATTTGAAGTTTGACGTAGATCCATACGACAGAGAAATGTAAACAAACGTTGCCATTTATAAATAGTTTTCAGTGCGTCTACATATAAAACAATTGATTGATATCTATTATACGCTATTATTAAATGATAATGCACACTATGTGTACACTTGATATTTTGATTACAATTAAATATATTAATATAACCAATAAATTATTATTTTGGTTTGATAGCACCTGTAGAGTATAAAATACGGAGTAATATTTTCAGCGACTCGCAAATAAGGAATTTTAAAACAAAACGTGACAACAGTTGAAGGTGCTAAGAACGTGACCTATTCAAATAATTTTAGACTTCACAATTTTATGTAAATAACTGAGTCCATCTGTGTTTATACGTCCATGGTTCCGAACAAATGTTCTTCATAAAAACGCTTTATAACCCATTTATATAAATTAAATAAAACATTTACAATAAACATATATAATAAAACAATAATATAAAGGTTTAAATATTATTTCTATGCATATATAATAAAATATGTCTAGTGGCTGTTATGCCAGTGTACTCGGCAAAGTAATTCCAAAAAAGAAACACACCTACCGCCTAAATATTTCGTGTTGGTATCATGTGATCTCACGAGCTATGACGCGGATGATGTGCAACGGTAAGTAAATTAGAGAAGGTATAACTATATGTTTATTCCGTTACTAAAGTATTTCTTGAGATATATATATATATATATATATATATATATATATATATATATATATATATATATATATATATATATGTACTACCAGCTATCTCTCCATCTCTTTTGATGGTGCTTTTTTTTGTAGCACTACAACCCGGAGTCGGTCTTGACTGACTGCACAACTTGATTTCATCTTGAACGGTTGTTCATAATAGTTGGGTCAGTGGGTAGCACTATTGTCCTTAGATCTGACCATATATTGTCTCTCCATCGTATTCGTGGACGTCCTAAGGGCCTTCTTCCTGTGGGGGATTCCTCCCATATTAACTTGGAAAGGCGGTTATTAGGGAGTCTATGGACATGGCCAGCCCAACTTAACCGTTAGGATTTAATCTCTAATTTGTTTTTATTCGGTATTGGTTGATATTAATGTCGTGATAAGGCCCAAAACTTTTCTGAGGATTTTTCTTTCAAAAAATCTAAGTTTTCTTTCACATACATCATACATCAGCACCGGTTTATGTTTGCGGATGGTTGCTTGTCAGGTGGATTTTTTCTAGCACAATTATTGAAAGCCTGTACTCCTCCTGTGTACCAAACTCTTTGTTTTTACTACTTCAATTGACTACATCTTTGTTTTTCCTTATTGTTCTTCAGTTTGGTTGTATGTAGTAAACTTTTAGTTTTATTCGCGTCTGTCCGTAATTCTATTCCATAGGTCATTACGAGTCTGATACAAGTTTTATATATTTTGACTTTTCGGCCCGTTCGCATGTACCTATGGGTTATTCCAGATAACATTACTTAAACATCCAGATGTGACTGCGGTTTTATTTATCTACCCTCTTTAGTCTGTGATTGGGTCATGGTAACTGGATTATTCTAAGCCCACTTATGTCAATTGGTTTAGCTGTTCAACTGTTCGGCGGACTAAGGCCTAGGCAACCTAGGCACATGCCAAGGGCCCGTAATTTTTGAGACCCGAAAATTAGGTTTTTACTTTTAATATGCAACATCCCTGCAACATCCGGAAGTTAAAAAGCAAGTGGGGGAATATATTAACAACCAAGTTAAACAACTAAAAGAAGAAAATAACATCCAACGAGAAATCAATCAATTCGAAGAAATAATTAAGAAAACTAAACAAGATGTGCTAAAACCAAACAAAGAAACAAAGAAGAAATCTTGGATGACTCCAGAAATCCTTCATTTAATGGAACGCAGAAGGTTAATTAAAGGAAATAAAAATGAGTATAAAAAAATGCAGGCTTACATCAGAAGAAAAATAAGAGAAGCTAAAGAAAAAGAAACTGTAGAGAAATGTAAAGAAATAGAAAGACTACAAGCCAAGCATGACAATTTTAATGTACACAAAAAGGTAAAAGAAATAACGGGTACTTTTAAAAGCGAACACAAATGAAACTCATAGACACCAATGGAAAATTAATCATTGACACCCAAGAGATGAAAGACAGATGGAGAATATATTTGGAGACACTTTTTCAAGACCAGAGAACGGATTATAGGCATCCATTTTCAGAGAGGATGACGGGCCCGGACATACTTAAATCCGAGGTAGAAGAAGCAATAAAACGGATGAAAAGCAGGAAAGCTGTAGGGCCTGATAATATCGAAGCTAAATTTTTAAAACTCTTGGAGGAAGAATTAATAATTTGGATCACGGCTGTCTTCAATAAAATATACAATACAGGAATCATCCCTGATAAATGGCTAGAATCAGAATTCATAGCGATACCTAAAAAACAGGGGGCTAAAAACGTGCGAAGAATATCGAACAATCAGCCTAACGAGCCACATGTTGAAACTGTTTCTTAGAGTCATCCATGGAAGAATTTATAAGAAGTTTGAGTAACAAATATCAGACAGACAGTTCGGCTTCATTAACGCAGTGGGTACCAGAGAGACACTTTTGGGAGTACAGGTACTGATTCAAAGATGCAGGGACGTTAACTGCGACGTATACGCGTGCTTAATCGACTATGAAAAGGTATTTGACAGAATTCAACATCAAAAGATGATAAATATTTTAAAAGAGGCAGACCTGGATGACAAAGACCTCAGAATAATTTCAGAACTCTACTGGAATCAGACCGCATACATGAAAATTAACGGAGAAGAAACAAATCACATAAAAAATACTACGTGGAGTTAGACAGGGATGTATCCTAGCGCCGTTGATATTTAATATGTACTCATATTAAATATCACTCTTTACGGAATAGACGAAGGCATCCTTCTAAATGATGAAAGAGTAAACAGTGTTAGATATGCCGACGACACCATGGTGATAGCAGATAGTTTAGAGGGACTTCAGAGGCTAATGGACAGAATAAACGAGTACAGTCAACAGTACGGGCTAAACATTAATACCCACAAAACGAAATAAATGATTATCAGCAAGGAGAATATAAATGGGGCTCATCTATATATTAATGGGACGCAGATAGAGCGAGTAAAACAGTATTGTTACCTGGGAACTATTATTAACGAACAGTGGAGCAATTTACAGGAAATAAAGTGCCGCATAGAAAAGGCAAGAACGATCTTTAACAAAATGAGCGCCATCTTCAAAAGTCGCAACATATCCCTTGATACAAAAATGAGACATTTGATATGCTATGTTTTCTCTGTGTTGTTGTACGGGGCGGAGACATGGACGCTTACAGACACCACTATTAAAAAACTTG